GTGTGTGTGTGTGTGTGTGTGTATGTATATATATATATATATATATATATATATATACTATATATATATATATGTATATATATATGTATATATATATAACGTACCAAACTATCTACCAATTAATCTATCCATCTATCAATCATTCAGTCAATCTATATCTATGGGTATTTATTTATGTATGTATATATGTATATATGTATATATGCATCTACAATTTTTGTATAAATGTATGTTTTTATGTGTATACGCCCTTTGTTTTGTGTACGTATGTATATATGTATGCATGTATGTGTACATGTATGTAGTATGTTTAGGTACACGTGTGCACGTTGATTCGCTTTTAATGTCAGCTTGTATTTTCTCCAGGCATCGAGTGGTATGTTTCGTAGTCACGAATTTCTTCAATACGAACATGAACTTGCACAGTACACGCTAATCCTCATACATACGTCCCTGATTTTCTATACAACATACCTTTCCATTACTGGGTTTGAAAGTTTTGACGACATTAGCCATTTTCTCCGGTCTCTCCTCACTAATAAAACTATGAATACCGCTCGCGTTGGACTACAAGGATTTCGTTGCTGTGTGACAAGATTTAGCGATAACGGTTTCAGGAACAAATGTGTTCATTGAAGGTTATCGTTCCTCCTACATAATGACACTACTAGTCGGTATGTCTGTAATTTTACTTCAAATTAAAAAATGTGAGATTGAGAGCACATTGACATATATTTACATCACGACAATACTTTAATTTTTGATGACCGTACATTTTGTCATCAATTCTCGATTCGCACCTCTACTCACTCTCTGCCCCTCTCACCTACGGTCTCTCATGACCCCCTCTCTCTCTACAGAAGAGAGAGATGTTGCAGTCAAAAGGCGATTCGGGCGAGCAGACAAGTGTCAGGGAAAATTGTCTTTTGACTACAATGCTGTTTGTCCCGACTTGTCCAGAGGGCCATGTCTCTCTCTCTGTCTCTCTTTCTATGAAAAACTGGACACACCTAAGGTGAGCGGCGTCTGACATCATTTGAACTATGAATATGTGAAACACTTCATGATCTGAAGATTTTTCGACACGTATACTCTTGACTAGTAAGGTGCTTGATGTTTAAAGTCTCATACTAAACTCTGTATTTGTAACCCATGTTTAAAAATCCTCATGAGCTATTTTATCCGCGGATCAAGTTAGGTATAGTTTTTCAAATGATTTGGGGTATAAGTAATACACTTTCTGACTTCCTAATGTTCACGACTGACAAATATGCTGCGATTTTAGTGCAGTAGTTCTACGTACAAAGCACAAAAGATAGTACAAATAGTGATCCCTTGAGTGATAGCGTACTATACGCGTATTGCAGCTGTGATCTAGTGTGGAATGATATCCGGAACTGTTGTGAACCTTTGGCGTACGTAGACACTGAAGGACAGTCCTAATTATTGCAATCAATTTATTTTATGATTCTTCCTATAGCGTCCTGAAAAAAATATAAGAGGCTATGCCAGGAAGCCGTGTTCATTCCTTGTGAAGGCTATGTTCCTAGAGGTGGTCATGAAGTGATTCGTGACTTTCTTTCAACCGATGTACGAAATCTTTTGTACCACTAACAAATAGCAGAAATGTTTCCTGCGCGTAGATATTCTACTCTTCCATAATTTGTACAGGTGACGCTCAGCAACTGGGCACGGAAAGTCTTTGTTGGAGTTCTGAATTTACTACGCTACATATTTCTCAGCGAGTGTGCTTTACCTTGAGAGTGACTTCAAGATCGAAATCTTGTCTAAGGTTGATGTGCTAATTCGCTGCAGTTGTATAGCGATAGTTTTCGTTTAGTAGAATGATGCTTTGACATTCATACTGCAATCAAATATCGATACGCTTCCATAGTAAGTAGGCAACCACGATAGTGCAAGTCTTGGGCTGCTCGTGACATAAAAAGTACCTATATCATAGTACAATAGTCTCAGCACGTAAACTCGGCTATTTAAATACCATTTACTATATTTATGCATCCCAAACAAGAAGAGTGTGCTTTGGTATTGTACTCGGTATGTATTATATATATAGTACTTAAGAAACATACTAGTATATGGATATTAAAATATTGTTTGTTTGCCATAGCTTTCTAATAAACATGTTTGCTTTTGTTTTTTGAAATATTATCGCACAAAGCCTTCTGAAAATTACACATCAAAATTGAAAAACAAGAAGACGACCATGAGGATCAGACAAATAATCATAAACTGATATTCATATCAGTGAGATCGCCCAACCAAATAGAAGAAATTGAAAATCGAAGAAAATTGAGAATCGCATGCAGTAGTACAAGTCATAACTACACTGTATTTTATTTAAATGTCTGTGCCTATGTAGTAACTGTTTAAATACTAGGTACGAAGACTACTCTACATAAAGATAAATCGTCGCGAGACTTCTGACATCTTTCATTACTACAGTCTACAGTTTACACTCTACAATATACAGTCTACACTGCCAAGGATATTTACATAAAAATATAAATATTATATTTTACAATAAGAATATTAAAGAAAAGGTATGAACCTCTTCTCTCTACTCTAAAAAGAGAAAACAGAACTAGGTGGCCGTGATACTGCCTATATTAGCCTCACAATATATTTTAAGCATTCGTCCCAAGCCTTTTGAAGGTCACTATGGCTCCGCAAACCGAAGAAGACAAGTCGTCCGGACTAGTTTTGACGATTTTGACATGCTGTTTGGGTTTGATATGTGGGAAGCCTGAGGATGAAACACCACACACGCCAGCGCAGGCAACTGAACAAACCACCGCCGATACACACACCATCACATCCGCTCCGGAGCCTCAAATAAACACACAAACACATGCCCATGAACAAGTGAGTAGTGAGAATGTAGTCCCCACTGCAGACGAGCTGGGTGATTTGTCGGCAGCCTGCAATAGGCTATGGGGATTGGATATTAATAGACTATTGCCGGGCAGCGAATACAAAATCAACGTACAAGGGGGTAAAAAGGTATGCACCGGTATATAGGTGGCGTTCGATATAATCGTGTTAGTCTATGCTACACTACTGATATGTTGTTCAAAGTCACAAAGGTATTGACTTTGTTGATTACTCATTGGCTAGTTTCAGGCTAGCACACAAACATCCAAATAATATATATATATATATATATATATATATATATATATATATATATATATATATATATATATATATATATATATATATATATATATATATATATATATATATATATATATATATATA